CTCTCTCCTTCTCTCCTCTCTCCTCTCTCTCTCTCCCCTCTCTCTTCTCTCTCTCCTTCTCTCTTTCTCCCTCTCTCTCCTGTCTCCTGTCTCCTGTCTCATCTCTCTCTCCCCCCGCCCCTTCCCTCTTTCTCTTTCTCACGCTCTCAAACTAGAATGGGATCTGGCTTTGGATCTCAACTCTGAGCCCTGGGACCCTGGGGACACCACTGAACCAGCTGTCTTGGTCTCTGGCTCCTCTTCAGTCCAATAAGAGAGCTCTAAACCGACCCTAGTGTGGTGGAGCAGTAAGAAGAAACCCCACTCCACAGCTCGTGTGGCTTTGGGCAAAGCAGTCACTTCCCTGGACCTCAGATCCCTGGAACCGTGATCCAAGACACTAAGTTTATTAAGTTCCTCATCAACTTCTACGAAAGGATGACCAGAATTATTATTCTCTAGGTAACGTGCTTTCTGAACATGTATTTTTGCTGCCTGGAGATTCAGCCTTATACACCTTTGGAACAATGACAAGGGTTTATACTTTTTAGGCAAATTCACTAAAATGGGGTCTCCTGTGACAGTAACTGACATTAGAATACTTCAAAGTTGGCAAAGCATTCTGCATACATTATCTAATTTCATCTTCACAACAACCCTCTGAGGGAGATACAAGAGGTTTTACTCACCCCAATTTACAGATGAGGAAACTGAGGCCTAGAATACTTCTGACTTGCACACAATTACAAACCAAGTGTGTGTCAGGAACAGGATCTGAACAGTGGTCCTTCTGACTCAATGCTGGGCACGCTATTCTCCCTACCACGCCCTCTCTCCCTGTATGGGGCTGCCCTGATCCCACCTGAGACAGCTGAGTGCAAAGAGTAGCCAGTGGGGAAACTCTTCCACCTTCCTTTCTCTTTCCCCATTTCCTCCAGGACTTCCCGGGGGCACAGCTGCGGAAGGCTAACACGGCCGCTCATGTGCTGGATGAGCTGAGGGTCACCAACCATGGTCCTTCCAGTAAGGCAGAGGACCTGCCAGGCTTACTCTGAATCCTCAGGTCTTTGGGGCCATCATTCTCTCCAGACTAATGCATCCTAACGAGCCCTGGGTCTCACCATCCAACCCGATGCTGAACCCTCCACACTTCTGGGCTTTTCCATTCACCCTGCAAACATCATCCATGCTGCCTCCTCCAATTTCAGCGTGAGCTCCATGAGGGCACGGACACAGTCGCTTCTGTATACACATCACTGAGCACAGTGCTCGGCACACAGAAGCACTTAATCAATGTTCATTCACTCAGAGAAGTGTGAAATACTTCCTGCCCCTATTTGTGGAAGGAGCTGCTTTAGCGTTGGCTAAACTGGGGGAGGGGCTGGGGCGTGGGTGGGCAGAGGGAGCACGTACATGTGCCAGTCCAAGTATTCAATTAGTGCTTGATCCATGGACCTCACCTTCCAGGCCTAGGTGGGCTGAAAATGCTAAAAACTGACAAGAAAAGTTCAGCTCTATCATGGCCACAGCTCCAGAGGAGTGATGGAAACTAAGATGGGTGGGGACATCCCTACCCTTTGGAAGGTGCTGGCATAAGAGCTACACCTACCATAATTGTCCACCAAACATCCTGGGGCCACTTATGAGGCAGATAGGCAGTGCAAAGGAGAGAGCGCTGGACTTGACATCAGGAAGACCTGATGTCAAAACCAGCCTCGGACACCTGCTAGCTGCATGACCTCGTACAAGTCCCTTAACCTCTGCCTCAGTTTCCCGATCTGTAAAATGGGGATCATAATGGCACCTACCTCTTCCTGGGTGACTGTGTGGATGAAAGGCGATATCATGTGCACAGTGCTTTGCCACACTTAAAGCCCTGTAAAAATGCTAGTTACGACCACCACTACCACCGCTAGTACTGCCAGGGAGTCTGTAATCATCGTGGTTCTTAGAGGAGCTCTCTGGTTTCCTCCAGCCTCATCGACTCACCCTCCTTACATGGTCTGAACATGTTCACCAGCAAAGGATGCTTGGGTGCACCCGCCGGGTCTTACCGTCCGGTCTGCTTAAAAAACTGCTCTTCAAATTCTCTTAATGCTTTGCGAAGCCTCTTCTTGTCAGCCCTGGTTTCTCGAAGATGGTCGAGTAGAACCGGCCTGTAAAAGGTAAATACAGATGGGCTGGCTCTAGGAAATGGACCAAGCAGAACCCTGCAGCAAACCTGTCCGTCTGGTCCATAAAAGGCAACAGAGACTTCAGATCCCTACCCACATATCACCCTGACAACGACCGTCTGGGGGAAGAGCGAGGACAGTGGCCTCACCAGAAGGGGGAGTCATGGAGAGTCAGGTCAGTCAGTGGGATGAAGCCAGATGCAAGGGGGCCCAGGGAGCCATGACAACCTCTCAAGTAGGGGAGGGACATGACTAAAAGCGTTTTTGGAAGCTGAACCTGGGCTGAGGCTAGGTGATGAGTGGTAAGGCAGCAGGGATAGAGAAAAGAAAGAAGCAATAATCTGGTGGTCACTTCTAGGCCAGGGTGCCATTACATGGATGCCCGAGCAGAACACCAACGGTTCCAGCCATAACATGGCGGTAAAAACAATGATGACTGCGTTTACTCACTAGACTTCTCTAGCCAAGGCAGAAAAGCAGACTGGCCCAGAACCACGCAAGGCTTCTCTGCTCACCAATCAGGGGACCATAAAATGCAGTCATCACACAGTCATCAATGCTGCCTCACAAGCATTTTCATTTGTTGAGTTTTACCACGAGATGTGACTAAAGAGACCTCGGGTCAGCTCCACAAACTACACTCAAAAATGACTTTCCTCATTCCATAGCTGTCATGGATGGCCCCAGCCAAAGAATTCACCAGCACACGGCTAGCTTTCTGGCAACCGCCTCTGTCTGTCCTTGGCGGGTTGGTCAGCCAGTGGTCAGAGCAAGCCAAAGAGGCAGCTGGCCACGGAAGCACGACGGTGGATCCCCCAAACTCTCTCTGGGTCAAGGAACGATAGATTGCTATGGGCTCATTCCACCAATGGGAAAGCCCGTCAGTGTTCTGAGCCATAACAGGTAAAGTGAGGAAGGCTAGCCCCAAGAAAGAAGGCGAATGCCTGGATGGACAGTTGTTGTGGCCTCCTAGGGCAGAGATACCCAAAAATGCAGCACTCACATGGTGGCCTCGTGCAAGTTGGACATGGAAAGGGCAGGATGTCTGACTTCCTTCTTTGCATCCAGAGGTAAGGCTGCAGCAGACTCAGTCTCGTTGAGGAAGGGAAGGGGCCCGCCCACGGGCAAGCAGGAGGCTGGATCGCACAAGGAAGGCTGGTGGCTTCCCTGGGGACCGTCTTCATCAGAGTCTTCTTCTTCCTGCTTATTCATGGAAGAGAAAGGAGGGAAGGAAGGAAGAAAAGAGCAAAGGAGGGAAAGAGGGAAGGAAGGAAGGAAGGAAGGAGAGAAAAAGAAGGGAAAGGAAGGAGGAGGGGAGGGAGGAAGGGAGGAAAGAAGTAAAGTAGGAGGGAAAAGGAAGGAAGGAAGAGAAAAGAAGAAGAAAATGAAAAAAGGAGGGAAGGAAGGAAAGAAAGAGGGAAGGAGGAAGGAGAGAAAAAGAAGGGAAAGGAAGGATGAGGAAAGGGAAGGAGGGGGGAAGGGAGGAAGGAAGAAAAGTAAAGTAGGAGGGAAAAGGAAGGAGGGAAGAGAGAAAAGAAGGAAGAAAAGGAAAAAAGGAGAGAAGGAAGGAAAGAAGGAAGAGGGAAGGAAGAAGGAAGGAAGGAAAGAAGGAAAGAAGGAAGGGAGGGAGGGAGGAA